GATCATGCATATAGTATATTTCGGACAGGCCTTTAAGTATCTAATGCAGCAGGGGTCTCTACTTTCTGAGGGTCATTTTACTGTCCTTCAGACTTGAGGGAGGTGGACTGTCTACTTTTGGGAGTAGAAAATGGCTTGGTTTACGCTCACCGACGACAGAGCAACACTAGTGTCAGTGGAAGCAATAGTGCCCCACCATTGGTGTCAGTGGAAGGACTAGTGTGCCCCAAGGGCTGGATAAAGGCAAGCAAAGGGCCACTTCTGGCCCTCGGAGGTACTGTAGTATACCATTCAACTTGGCAATGAAAGCATTAATTTAGCCAATGCAAATCTCAACTTTTGTAAAAGTCAAGCTTGGCCCAACCTATTGCCCCATGAACTTACTTTCCTATTGGTCAATGAGGCAACCACTCGCATTAAGGAGGTTCCAAAACAGAGGCAGGATAACTGGAAAGTGGCTAATGCCAACAGTTTAGAAAATAAAAACTACCCTATAGGAATAAAATGTTAAGGGCTACATGTAAAACAAAGTTACTTGTGTGTTTTTTTTTTTTTTGTTTTGTTTTTTTTAATTCACTTGCCACTAGGTCGCTGTAACCTGTATGCTGTATGTGCAGAATGAGTCACAATTGTTTGTGACCTGTAGACTCACATCAATGATGCAAATCCCTTCCCTGGCCAGGCTGCAGTCTGTTAGGTGGAGATGATGAATAGTGAAGGTGCTGCTGATAATCCGGGCGCGTGTTCCATCTGTCACATGTTATGAAATGATTGTGTATTTTGACCTGAGTGCACAGGTGTGTATGAGCTGAGTTCACGGTGCTCCGTTCACCCCCCCCCCCCCCCTCCTACTTCTCATGTTACCTCCATGTGTTTGAGCAATGCCTTCAAAACTGACAAGGAGATTATCCCTGTACAAAGACCTCCTCAGCCCAGGAGTGTCTGTGAGGGGTCAGAAGTTAACTGTTTATCCTGAAATGTGTGTATACAAATGGGATCAATCATTAAGGTGGCAAGAAGAGCAGAGGTGATGAAGTGTATAGTAAAGGTGGTCATTCATGTAGTGATCACCGATAGTCATCGTAGAATGTAAAAATATCACGATACAACACACACTATCTATTATAATGATCATTTTAATCAATCTTTGACCGTTCTTGCAAAAAAAAATATATTCGTTCAGCCAAAACAGATCAACAAAATTCCACCATGACCAATCAACTTGCCTGAATCAAGAGCTCACCGAATTGGTTAAATGAAGGGTTTACAATTCTTCAATTTTGACCATTTTAGTTGCATTGAATGAATCGCTGTGTGTGGCTACATGAAACCAGTTGCATATCTTCCTGTAGTAAGAAGTTTCGATTGGCCAACCATATATTTGGCAAGTTGATCGGCAGTTGAAGCTAGGTTCACACCTACAGGTGCAATTGCGCGCACGTGCTTTTTCGCGTTCCGGTGCATCACCAGTAGGACAGCCCATCCATTTCAATGTGCAAAAAAGTCCCTGACCATGTGTAGCACGTGGTTTGGCACATGCCTTAGCAGATGCATGAGGTGCCATTAACAGGCTTGGATCACATCTATGCGTGTTGGGATGGCGCCCACCCACATCTGCTAAAGAGCATCACGTTTCTGTGCGGGGAAAGCGTGCAATTTTGCTTGTGATCCTGACATGCATAGATGTGAACCAAGCCTTTAAGGAGCTTCTGAAACAGTGAGCTGATGGCCATGGACTGGTCAATTCCATGTCATCTCCCACCCACTGTTTCAGACCACTAGATGACGACACTTCAGTAGTCTGTTGCTTGAAACTTTTTAGGACCATTCTTTCTTTTGTCCCCAATGGAAAAATATCTATGTAACAACAATTATACATACGTTTCTGTACGGGAGTCCATTAAAACGGGTACAACAGGTAGCAAGATCTCTTACAAGGTTGACGCTCATAGTTTTTTATTTGAAGCTCTTTACTGAAAATATCAATACAAATGATTAGTTTTTGTAACTGACTGTAATGAGCAAAGGTGTTGGACATGGTAGCCAACAAGATTGCAGGTGTTTTTTTTTTTTTTTTTTTGCTTACTTTTTAAAGGACACCTGTGGCTGATACAAGATCACCATCGTTTCCACCGACCTCTTCCTAGGCCTGTAGCCAATTATTAGTTAAATGGCAATGTTGGGATATGATGGTTGCGTTTGGTTTTAGACAATCATGTGATTTGTTGGAAGTGATTGAATTCTCCGTAGATCCCATTTTCCAGCAATTTAATGGGGCTAGCCCTGGGGAGGAGAGAAGGGTTAACGGCGAGCTTAGACTCTGAATGGGTTTGTTGCTAAGCAGCCCCCGTCCATGTATCATCTGGCCGCAAACATGATTTCCAGCACGTGAGGCCTGCATGTGTCGTGTGTGTCCTCCGCCTCTCCACAGCTTGGGGCTTGCAGGCCGGATACGGCTTTGTAAAACCATAACACTGACTTCCTCCACGTCCTTCGAGGCAAAAACATATTGTCATCCAGCACTGAGCGATTCTAGCAAAATGTGACCATGCCACGGTGTAAAACCTCTGCAAGGTCATTCGGGATTCCTCTCCCTTTACTAGTACTTTAGTTCTATATGATGAGGTGAGCTGGAGAAAACAGAACTTGGGGGCTCAATCATGCCAGCCCTGTCGCATTATACAGAGTTGCCCAACACACAGGCAAGGCAATGCGCTAGTATGTCCTGTAAGCAACAGGCACAGTTGCACAGTTGTGTGCTCTGAAAAGACTTGTTTCATACTTGCCCATCATGTTCTGATGCACTACTACGCTTGCTGCGCTTTTAAAAAGTTTAAACGCATTACAGCACATACATAAAACACCCATGTGTCATGCGCAACTTGGTGCACGCCTGCTGCTAGTGAATGAGCCCTAAAAAGCTTGACTTCAGATATAGTAGAAGTCCATGTATGCTAGGAAACTAAGAACCTTGTGGAGGTTTTATACATTTTTTTTTTTTTGTATTTTTTTTTTTTTTTTCGATTTGTGATAGATAAAATGTTTGTTTATCCTTTTCGTATTTCATCTTCGTATTTCATCTTTGTGCATCTTATATTCAGATTTTTTTTCATCTTTTGTGTTTATAGTGTATGTATATTATATATTTTTTATATTATATATTCTCTTTTTTTTTTTTTTTTTATTTATGACTTTAGAGATGTATAGATAAATATTTGTAATTTGATATTTTATTGTGTTTTTCTAAGTGTAACACTTTCAGGTGTTTATTACCTCACTGAGATCAGTGCCCCCCTGGCAATGCCTTCATCTGGTGTGTTTTTTTTTTTTTTTTTTTTTTTTTTTTTTTTCCCCCCCCCCAGAAGGTTTTTGGCATTTCTGAATATATGTGGTGGGTCACACATGATGCAATTGTGAATCTTGCTGCTGGTGCAGTTCTTGACTGTTCACAAATGTCTGACACAGATTGGCCCCTGCAGCTTCTCACCTTGTGACTTGCTACAAAGTTAACATTGCACAGTCCCCTGGGGTGGGGGGATTACCAAGGAAATGATGTTGGGTTTTTTTTTTGGTTTTGTTTTTTTTGTTTGCCTGCAGTAGCCTTGGTATTAGGATTTAATATAAATGGGGCAATGTATAAAAAAAAAAAAAAAAATATATATATATATATATATCTCTGGAATGCACCATATTTTAGAATCTGATAGAAATATCTTACAGTGTAAAACCCAAGAACAGAAATGTCATTTTGCAGCTTACAAGCCCTTAGACATAGTCAGGGGCGGACTGACCATTTGGGAACTCGGGCACTGCCCCAGGGCCCTGGGTCAGTAGGGGGCCCCATGAGATGCCCCTGGTACCTTTTTTTTGGGTGTGGTTTGATTGTGGGCAAGGGCCCGGGGGCCCCATGAGTTGTTAGTCCGCTCCTGGACATTAGTTTTCCTTTTTGTAATTTTAAATGTTGACTTCCCAGTAACGCGCTTCCTGTTCTAGGGTGACAATGCTCTCAATGTACTGTATCTATGGATGTGCAGCATTGCCATCCAAGGAGAGGATCTGTCAGGACCCCAGTATATCCCTCTCCTTCATAACACGGGGAAGGTGTTTTGTAGTTCAGGGGTCCCTGGATAGGGCTGATAAAACTGCAGCCAACAGGAAGTTAGGAACTCTGGGTATTTCTGGCAGGATCAACAGACACTACTTAAACTGAGATAACAACGCTTCCAATGTTATATTTACCAGACCAGAAAGGAGCAAATAAGAGGTTCATTGTTTCGTCTTAAGAATGACGAATACCAGATAGGCCTTTGCAGTACATAATTATTACAGGTAAACTGTGCTGACCTGATGGGTCATATCTGAGTGAACTGACCATATATAGCAGTCTATTGTCTAAGCCCAAATGTAATGCATCTACAGTATCATATTGTAATTATATGGTAATGAGTATTACAATACAGAGTATTCAATAGGTCGGCTAATGTCTGGTACAGGTTGGAGTTTTAACTGAAACCCTTTTTTTGTTTTCTGTAAAAGAAAAAAGTTGTTTTCAGTGTAGTTTAGTAGAGGTGCGATGTTACACTTTAGCACTGTCCTACGTTCCTCAATTGCCCGACATCAAAGATTGCTTCCCGCAGGCAAAACCTTTTTTGTTCCTGTTACTTGCTCATCTCTCAAAGCAAGCTGAGTCATAGCAGGGAGCGCCAAGAAATCGTTCCTGTGATAGCAGCTCTTCAGAGAACCTCCCTAGATATCCATTTTGTATTGCATTTTTTTATATTTTTGTAATGAGAGATTTGTTTTGTTTTGGTTTTTTTTGACATTTAATATATAAATTTTTGGTTTTGTATTTGTCTTGTGACCCTGATGTGACTTGCCTGTTTTTGACACTCATTAAGTTTTGGACTTCTTTATGAATTTGGTCTCCCTGGGGGAACCTGGATGCATGAAGTAAATCCTGTCTTTTTTTTTTTTTTTTTTTTTTTTCTTCTACAGGCACAATGACTGATTTCGATATCAGAAACTTGGATCAGGTGGCCCCTGTGTACAACACCCACAGAGGTGTACTGAAGGTAAGCAAATACGTTTTTTTTGGCAAATTCTTCTGAATTGTGTAGGTTCAATAAAATGTGTAATCTTTTTAGCATGGAAACTATCATTTGTACTCTAAAATCAAATCCAAATATGACAATTGGGAGGTTGGCCATACACTAGCAGAATTTTGTTGCAAATGTTCACAACATTAAACTTCTTGTTGGGGTCAAATCCAGCATTTGGAACATAGAACATTTTTTCTCGAACAAACTTTTGAACAGTGAATATGGTTTTTCCTGCAACAAAGTTCATTCATTCCAAAAAAATGTTAAGCAAAATGTTTGAAGTATTTTCATGGTGTTCAAACAGTCATCAAAAGTAATGAGACTGTTCGAATATTCGTACAAAAATTGAAGTGTATGGCCAGCTTTAGACACCAAACCTTTTTAAACAAATCCTTTGGAGTAAACTTGAAGATCCTTTTATTTCCTCTGAAGAACAATTTCCCATTGACTAGCTGGGCTATTGGTATTCAGATTAGCCCGGGGTGTGCAGCCATTGGTCCTTCTCTACCTATGTTTGCATATGATTAGGTGTTTTGGTTTGGCCAACAATGGGCCTGGTGGGTCTGAAGCCTTTATTTGCTAAATGTTGGAATTTCGGGTTTCTTATGGCTCCTGTGTTCTTCCAGGGCTCCTTGTCCTTTTATCATTAACAGGCCTCCTAATATTTGCACATAGCCTGGTGTCCCCGCCCCACTCATTGCTTTTATAAAGATACAGGCTGACTCACAGCTATTGTGTCCCAACCTGTCCAGACTGCTGGTTTATGATTAATTAAAGTGTGTAGACACAGGCACCTGGGTTGTCTGTTTTGTTTGTAAATTGTGTGAAGACAATGCCTTTTCTGTGGCTGTAGAGCACAAGTCCAATTATCGCAAGGGGGATAGGGTTTGTTCATCATGCAGTTAATAAAGTTGGCCATACACTTGTAGAATTTTGCTAAAATGTTAGCGTTTTTGGAATGTTCGTTCAATTTTTGCAATCTTTAGTGGGGTCAAGTCAGCATTTGATGTGGACTGGAATGACGAGATTTTAACGGAGTAAAAGGGAAAATTTTACTTGAACCAAATTGACAGTGAATCTGGTTTTAATTTGGGGAAAGTCCATTCGTTCCAAAGTTCAACGTTAACAGTTTATTTTTTACTTATTTTTGAATGACATTTGTCAAGTCATTGAATGTATTTTTTTTTTTTTTTTTTCCATACAAATATTCGTTTGAAAATCCTAGTTCATGGCCAGCGTAAGGAATGCTCCAGTCCAGCTTTTCTCCACTTTTTTTTAGAGGAACTCTTGAAATAATTCACAAGTCTCCAGGCACTCCTAAGACTGGTCCATCCAAAGTCGTAGGGAAAATGCCCCTTACATTGGTCAGTGGAAAGCATGAACTCTCATAATGCTGGTGCCCTGCCAAGTGGCAATGGACCTGAAACTATGAAGGCATCATCAGGTCAATTAGCCACAGCTCAAGGAATTCTAGGATTCCACAGAACCCTAAATGAGTGACTGAAAAAAAGACCATTGGAAGTTTGTCATTCTTTTTATCTGTCTATAGACCTATGTTATACCAAGCATGTTTAAATTCACTTATGCCAGCCATATGCGTCTTGAATTTCTTCTGATCAGCTGAAATTCTATCTCCGGTTTCCTCTGTTTGCACCACCTAGCTTGACAAAACTCCAGGAGCTGGTTGGAAAATTGTTGGCTGAAGCGTAACTCCTTCCAGTTACTATTCAGATAGTCACGGGTATCGAACTACAATAGCTGGCAGGGGAGATTCTCCTATCCAAGCTGTTAGTGGATGGAGGAATCTATTGATTGTGGGTTTTTTTTTTTGTGTATGACTAGCCTTGCTGTTGATTTGACTGCCTCCGCAAGAAGTCTGTTCCAAACAACCACTACTTTTGTTATTTCTTTGGCTAATTTTGTTCTTTCCTTCTGGTTTAAGGTCGCGTAGCTGTGGTCTTTCTTAAACCAGTCATTCTCAAACTGGTTTCTTCTAAATGTTTCCAGGGGTTCCTTCAGATGTGGCTGACCTCCCATTTGAGGGTGCCCGCATATTTCTAGGGCTAATACCTCATGGCAGAGCCAGCAGCATGGCCCCAATGATCTTTTTCATCTACCTGTAAGAGTGGCATTCTGACAAACATTGTAAGACAGCCTTTCTCAGCCTTTTTAAAATGGAGGAACCCTTAAAATAACTTTGGCTTTGGGGAACCCCTGCTAATATATTTACAGCTCATACTAGATTAGTCAGTCATATGGTCGATGTGAAGATGGCTGTTAACTTTTGTGGTCATTGGGTAGATTCCTCCCTTACAAGTAGCTACAAAGATCATTTGTGTCAGTGGTTACTAATCTGAGAGGCAGAAATCGCTCAAGGAACCCCTAGCAACTCCTGCAGGAACCCTAGGGTTCCAAAGAATTGTGGTGGAGAAATCCTGTTGTAAGGGTTGTGTTCTTCCCACTAAACACCAATGACATTTTTACCATGAATCTCCAATGAATTGGTTTAGCAGGGGCTCCTGAGACCTGAAAACCATTTTAAAGATTCCTCCTGGGTTTTACCCAGGTTGAGAGGCTGTTTTTTAGATCTGGTATTTGTCATATTGCATGCCTACTACATACCCTGTTGTAGCCATTCTGTTGGTCAGTTGATATGGCCTTAGGCATACCGATTTGTGACCAATCTAGGTTTGAAATGATGGATATGGAGTGGTGTACTATTGCATCTTGCTTTGCAGTCAACTGAAAATGTCAACCGAAAATACAATCCACTAAATTTAAAGGATTGTTTGAAAATGTTTTGATCAACCTGTAATATCAGTTCTCTGGGCCACAAACACTTGTTCAAGCGATCAACATTGTTTAAATCAATGAAATGGATTGCTCGCAGGGATTTTAATTTTGTTTGACCAATTTTCTTGCATTGATTGATCATATTGATGTGTGGCCACCTTTTTTAGGAAGTTTACAGCCCTGATTTTTTTTTTTTTTGCCTTGGGCCACAAATCGGTTAAGACCTTAACTGTAGGTGACCCTTTTTTGTATTTCAATAGTTATTTAGTAATTTTCAACAGAAAACTAAAGCAAAAGGCACACCCACACGGGGCCATCAATGGCACAGAAAAATACAAAAATAGTTTTAGAACACAAACAGTAAAGCAAAGGCAGATATCTACCGCCTCACAAAAATCAAAGGGGAGAAAAAAAGTAAGAAAAGACTATGATCAACAGCAGGCATCTGGGAACTCCCAATACCAATCAACAACCTTAACCCAGACTAGTGTGGGAAAAGCATATATCAACCACTGTTCCCCAGATTTTCAAAAATTTGTGTTCGGAGTCCGTACCAATACTTGTCATCTATTCATTAAGCATCAGAGTGGTTATCCAGTCCCGCACCTCCTGAAAAGGGACAGATTTACTCTTCCAAGCTTGATCAATTGTTCTAGTTGCCGACCAGAACAAATAGGAAGCTAACTTCTGCTGGTGGGCCAACAAGCCCAGTATGGGGTAATGAAGCAAAGCATACCGGGCTTCCTGGCATATGGAGAGATGGAACAAGGTGTAAAGAAGGCCAAATGCACGAAAACAAAACCGAATCAGTCTCTGGCATGACCACCACATATGTAACACATCTTCACGATGACCACAACCCTGAAAGCAGCGGTCACTATAGGTAGAGTTCGTCTGGGCTATACGAGCCAGGACCCAATACCAACAGAACAGTACTTTGTATACCGCCTCCAGCGTGTTTGTGTTGAATGAACATTTGGCTATAAACGAACAGGCCTTATTCCAGTCCTCCAGATCCACTACCGCCCCCAAATCGCGCTCCCATTGAGCGACCTACCATAGATAAGTACACATCGATCGCCCATTCAAAGATGCATCAAAAGACTGTTATTAGCACAGGTATCAAACTTGTTTTGTCCAACAGAAGGCCTGTTCAGCCTCCGACGCAAGTCCAGCTGTTCAGCCAGTGTCTCGCGTACGTTTATGGGCCACGGATGCGACTTCCAACTAGGTCAGAGTGGTTCCGAAAGGTAACGCTCCCCGTTTCCGAGCCGCAGCCAGCTGCATGTGGCCCCGCACCGTTTATTTGTGTGCACCACTCAAGATGCAGAACCTGAGTTATCCGCACAATCTCCGTATAGAAGATTCAGTGCAGGTGACCCTTTTAATGATTCTTTAGCTGACATATCAAGGTGTGTTGTGTCTTCCCCTCTGAGAGGAGTGATGGCTGACACAACGTAATTAAAAGCTTTTATTTTTAGCACCCAAACAGCACGGATGAATAGAGCCTTGTTCTGCTGTGCGGTGTGATGTAGAGAAAAGGAATGTATACACAGGTGATATGGAGTGTTCTTCCCCTGTAATCTCTGGGAGAAGGCAGGTATAATTATGGCGACAGCTCATCGCGTTGTATTTATAGAAGGTGCTGCTTATTAGACTGCTGAATTCTGCCTCATCCGAGTGGATGTATTTCATTAGAGCTGTGCGGTAGGGACATACTGGAGTTCTATTCTGTTTCTACCACTAATGAATCTCATTCCACAAGAATTTTTGGTGCTTCCAGGCAAAGTAAAAAAGTTGTGTACGTGTTTAATTACTATATACAGGACAAAAGTATATTTCACTTCAATATTTAAAACTTAACCCCAGGCACACAACATTTAGATTTTATTCCTCAATGGCCACAAAAGCTATACATCTATATGAACTGGGTGCTTTTGCAAACCCAAATGTTGCCTTGTAAAAGTAGTGATGACATAATTACTGTGCTGTGCATAGTCTGTTGCAGAGCTGTGGGAAGGGCCCCAGCAGGCTCACTACAGGCTGTCTGCAGAAAACTACGGGAGGGGGGGGTGAAGACAGGACCAGTCACCCTTCACAAGGAGAGAACACAGAAGTGACTGGTCTTTATTACAGGAAGCTCCTGCACAGAAGTAAAGTGTAGAGGTTGCTTAATTTATTGCACCAATCTGGAAGAAATACACAGAAAACCAAGCTGGCCATAGATGGTTTGAGAGGCTAGGGGGGTCCTTGCTGAACCAGTTGAATTTTGAATCCATACATAGCTGTACCTGTTCAACAAAAGACAATTGTTAGATCAACTTCTGTAGAATGGGAATGTTGGCAAACATTTGCTGATCAGCCAAGATCAGAGTTGGCAGAATACAATGTCCCAGCAGGTAGAATTCCTCCATCCACCTTGTGTGGATGGAGGAATCTGTTGCCAGGTAGAAGCAAGTATGCAGCCAAGATTAGGAAATTTTAGGTTGGTAACACGTTTGCATTACACACTTGGATAAATGAATAGAAGAGGTGGCACGCCCATTTCCCTCTGCAGATATGACCACTGTGGAGTGGGCATGCAAACCGTTGAGCTTCTATATTATACAGCTTTTTTGTTTTTAATTTGCTAAATATTTTTACTGTTTGCAAATTTTGGCTATCAAATGAAATGGTTTTTTTTTTTTTTTTTTTTCTCTTTTCTTTCAGCGGCAACTGGCATTTGATATCAATTTGTCAACATCGATTTACACTGGTTTGTTCTCAGCGTATGATGCTTATGAGGAAGAACAGGCAGTACCCACCGGTCTGGACTCTCTTCCACATGGTAAATTTTATTGTATTAAGAATGCAGGTTGGGTCATTAATCTGTAAGCCAATAGAAGCAGATGGAAGGGGGAAAATGTATTTCCCAGTAAGACTGAAACCAAAAAAGTAGAAAAAAAAAAAATTGGATTCAAAGTTAAAAATTGACCTTAGGGCCGTCGCCCCCCTCCACCCTTTGCTTCTGTCAGTCTGTCACAAATGCTTACCTTGAATGAAGTGGGGGGGGGGTTCAGTTGTCCAATGATACAGCAAAGGACCTCACCCTAACCTGTTTATAAACTGTAAAGTGGTGGCTGGCTGACCCAGACAGAATTGCAAAATGGGGGGAGAATATATATTTCTGCAGTAGGTGTGAAATACACTGAGCCTTATCATGGTATGGCGGCTTCTTGGTGTAATTGGAAGCCGATATCCTATATTACGGATCAGCTTGCTGCATCAACCATAAAATACTTTAGCAGTTCTCAACTATTTATAGTGAAAGGCTTCCGAGCGCAGCATATGTGATCAGTCTTTGGTATCTGCTGATATAAAATACATTTTATGTCTTTCTCCAGACTCCAGCAGCTGTGAATTACCCCTCCTGACACCCTGCAGCAAGGCGGTCATGAGTCAAGCTCTGAAGGCCACTTTTAACGGGTTTACAAAGGAGCAGAGACGGCTTGGCATCCCCAGCAGTGAGTTGAATTCTCCTTTCTTATCTAGACAATTCGTTCATTGTCCGCATCTATGGGGCTGTGTATTGTTGGAACCATTTTGCATCTAATAAAGTGCCGGCTGGAATATGGGATTTGGTTTGTCTAATTTCGGTTAAAGATATTTTTGACTGCACATTGTGCAGTGTTTTGGTTTTTTTTTTTTTTTTTTTTTTTGTTTTTTTACTTTGCTGAGCCTAGTTGGCTTCTTGACATGAGGGAAGCCATCTTGTCTCGATATTGGGTATGTGTACCTCCTACATTTTTCAGACAATTGGTCTGACTTGAAAGATTTCTCTCTCGTCCTTGTCTACTTGAAAGGGTTCAAATGCTGTAATTGACTTCCTTTTTACGTTTGTCATTAAGGTGCACCTATCGCAATCATTTTTATGGCATAGGATTTACATTTTGTATGAGGGATTTGCTGTAGTTTAACTTTCTTTGATAAGCTTGTATTCAATTTAAGGAATCCTTTGACGGGAGGCAGTCAAAATATGCATTATTTAAAGCCTATGGCTTAGAAGAGTAACATCATATTTGTGACCGAAGGTCAATCATAAAGCAGACCTGTATGTTTTAATTTTAATAGCTATGTTTACAATCTTGCTGGAATCAAATATGTATAAAATGGCTTAAAACTTTGGAGTAAATACTGCTCAATGCTCCCTCTAGAACCACTTATATATTCAAAAGCCTAGGTCTTTAGTCACATGATCTTTTCTGGAGAGGAAGTCAGCCATTCTAAATTCTGGTCCTGTGTTTCAAAAGGGATCCCATAGCCAAAAGCCTAGTATTCTGGTACTGGAAAGAGCCCTAAGCTGTGGCATCTTTACCTAAAATCTTTACGGTTTATTTATAATGCCCAGTAAGACTGTAAAGATGGATGTCTACAGAGTGATTTTGAAGCTGTGGGTGGCCCTGTTGGTACCCTACCCACCCATCTTATTTCATTGTTAATGGGAAAATTGATGGCCAGACAGTGGAATAGTAAATCTTAAATTTTCTGTGTATGGTAAACCTCATCATAGCTCTATATTACCATTTGCATCTCCATCCATGCCTCCATTAAACCGATTTAATGTCTTTGTAAGACAAATGGCCTGTTGGTGATAGAACTTCTATACTAATGTCTCTTTCTTTACTACTTTGAGACCCTTATCTGGAATAGAACATGCAGATGAGGCAAATTGGAGTGAAACCAGTCACGTGAATGCCACGTAGAAAGTATTAAAGATACTGAATTGGAATGATAGCCAGGATATTGGTATTTTCAGAAGGAGAGGTCAGCTAGGACAGCCCCTTTTTTTTTTTTCTTCCTCCATACAGGTTTCCTTTGTAAATACTTCAGTCTCTGCAGTTAACTTGTTTTGCAGTTGTAAACAGGGTTTAATCTTGCCTAGCTGTGTTTGGGGAAAAGCTGAATGAATACAGACGTCACAGGAATTTCCCTGCGTGAAATCTACTACAGCTTATTGTGCAACCTCCAGTTATTTAAACTATGTTCCTAGATTTCTCAGTATGACCATTTAGTCATCCTGTGCACATTTTTCCAGAGAAAAATTGGTGTTTGTCATTCCCCCAGACTAGAGGCATAAACATTCACTGATATTAATAGAACTGGTAGATCCTTTGGCAAATGTTTGTCCGCTTATGGAGATGAAAATTTTATCTTTGTCCAAAATTGATGTCTAATTCTTAGAGGTAGAGCCTTGTGGGTTTGGTCATTCCCTGACTTGTGTCTTAGATGAGCATTTCTCAACCTTTTTGACATGGAGGAATCCTAGAAATAACTTTGTGATGGACAGTGGATTTTTACATTGTGGTCATTTGGAAGAATTCTTCCCTACAGATGGCCAAAAAGATATTTTAGTGTCTGTGGTTTCTCATCTGACTGAGAAGCAGAAATCTTATTGCTAAAGAAACCTATAGCAACCTCTGTAGGAACCCTAGTATTTCATGGAACACCCTGTCTTGGATACTCCCAACAGTGTGATTTTCCTGCCATAACTCTTGACCAGTCCACCTAGTTTTGGGTGTTCCTGACAGCTTTGTGTGTTCCAACTCCACCAGTTAAATTGTACATAATCTAGAATAATAATAAAAAATCCAGCAAGGGAGTGGGAGCCCTCATAAGGACAACAGTGTGCAAAGACAGGAACTTGGTGCAGAGGTCTCACCAACTGAGTCTGAGAGATCAAAATTGTCAGGTGGGACAATTCTCCTGCATGTACTAAAAGCCTGAATATCTGCTTTGGGTGGACTGACCCTTTAAATACATGTGCAAAGCAGATAATGTTTGTGCTACAACGGCAACCAGATTTATTTTTACTCTAAACTTTCATAACCAAGGTTCTGTGGAAGCCTGGGGTTCCTCGAGGTGAGAGCAGTGGCAGATTGATCTTTTGCCTACATTGACCACCAAAGTAAAGGGGCACTACAATGTTCAATGTATTTGTTTTCATTTAATGAATATACAGTATATAGCGCTAAAAGGTTTGCTCCGCACTGTACATTATAGTGGGGGACAGTACATGAGACAATACAGTAACAAAACAGAACATGCTCTTTCGAATTATCACTGAAGAGAATTATTTTACAGAGCAAAGGAAGGGAAGAGGGTCTAAGTACACCCTTTTTCTTCTATTTAAAACTCTTTGCACCCTAATGATGTACTCTGAGCTGTCTGTCCTTTTTAGAGGGGCTTCCCTGAGAACTTTTTTTTTTTTTTTTTTTTTTTTTTTTTCCCCCCCCCCCCCCCCCAAGGGTGTCTCCCTGATACAAAGGTTGAGAGGTTGGTTTAACGTCTGTCGCATCTAGAGTTTAAAAAATATATATATATATATACAGGAAAAGTAAAATTACATTAGTCAGATGCATGTTATTTTTTTTATATTTTTTTTCTCAAAGAGAACCAACAGGGATGTGATTTTGGTGGGTTGGTTTTTTTTTAATATGCTCAAATTTTTATTTTACTGTTAAATATTTTTCATATATGGGGTTGGCCAGCTTATGAAACTGTGTTCTTCTTTTTGTAGATCCATGGCTGTGGCATGAGAGTCAAGTGTGCCAGTGGCTCATTTGGGCCGCCAATGAGTTTTCCTTGGAGACCGTTAACTTCCAGAAGATCATCATGACTGGTCAGGAGTTGTGCAGTCTAGGAAAAGAACATTTCCTGGAGCTGGCCCCAGACTTTGTGGGTGACATTCTCTGGGAGCATCTGGAACAGATGATGAAAGGTAATTAAGGAGCAGTCTGCCAGAACGTTGTTTAAACAGTTCCGGGAATGCTGTTTAGATGTTCACAGGCGATATAAACTGTCATTTCCAAATAAGATCTCTTCCCTTTAAAGGGAAAATGCCATTGACTTTGGAGTTCCTTTTTTAAAGGATCCTTGAGACTGTATGTCCATAATTAACATATGTAAAACCTTTAAAGGGGTCTACTGCTTTCATTAAGAAAGTTCAAGAACCTGTTGCAGAAGGACTAAGCCACCTGTCATTCTTGCACCATTAACCTAAAATTTGCATAAATGACCATCTAAAAAGCCATTCATCCAGAGATTTTACAAACCATGGAAATGATCAGGAAACACTTCTTCATAGCTGTTTTCATCGCTTTTAATGTTAGCTAAATGTCCAAGCTCAACTTTGCACATCTCCTGAAGCTTTAGTCCAGCGAAAGGAGAAACTCCCTTCCTCAGTCAATTGTTGACAAAATTGCTACTCGAGGGGGAAAAAAATATTCCTGACTTAAGGGTGGTCAAATTAATTCCCTAGAGTATTAACCTTTAGTAAATATAACATGTCAGTCTTGCATGCATTTTCCAAACTGACGCTTGCGCTTTTTCCCCTTTCCTATAGAACAAGAGCGAGTACAGGACCAGTATATTGAGAGCTCCAATCAAACCCAGTGGGTGAACACTGACTCCTTAAGTAAGCTTTCTTTATAATTTTAAAAAGTGTATAGTTGACAATGTTTTTTTGTAATTCAGTGTAGATGTTGCTGTAATGGTATAACTCTATTGCTGTCAATCAGAATTGATTTTATCTACTATACCTAAAATTTGTATTTTTTTTTTTTTTTTTTTTTTGCCTCACTTTATATACCAAAATCCTTATATTGATCTGTATTTCTAAATTTCTTGTAGATTTCGGCATGGACCCCTTGCATTGTGGCTCTCAAGTACACAGCTACCCTAAAACTGAAATGTACAGTGACCTATGCCCAGTACCCCAAGTGCCAAACCTCCTTCCGGTCAAGCAAGAGTTTCAGAGTTACTCGTGCATGAAATCCATGAGCAGTAATTACTCCTCTGTGAACAGAGACTACAATAGAAACTTTAACATCCTGCTGAGTTCCCTGAGCTCTGGTGAGTGTATGAATGAACCCCAAGGTTCAGGTATTGCTATGGCTGGCACCCAATGATGTCCATTACCATAAAAAATGTTTAATAAGAAATAAAATAGGTGTTGTACTCAAATGACAGTCAAGGCACATCATAAAAGAACAGCTGGGTCAACACCGCGCTGAGTAACAGTCCGTAATGGGGAATGTAGACCTCCAATAGGCTGACACGTTTCGAGGACTTGCCTCTTCCTCGGCTCTGAGGAAGAGGCAAATCCTCGAAACGGGTCAGCCTATTGGATGTCTACATTCCCCATTACTGGCTGTTACTAAGCGCGGTGTTGACCCAGCTGTTTTATGACGTGCCTTGACTTTATTGTCGTTTGTGAGTACAACACCTATTTTATTTCTTATTAAACATTTTTTATGGTAATGCACTAGGCCTGTGCACCCTCTTTGTTCTTTCCTCATTCAGTATATTTGGATTCCCCCGGTCTGTTGAGGGCAGCAAGGTGTGCATGTTCCAGGACATTCTTTAATGTGGTTGCAGCCTGCATTGAGTCTATCCCCAAGCGCAGGAGCATTTGTTTGCTGACCCAATAATTTCCATTCTATTAATGTTCTATTTTGAGAACAGATATGTGCAATTGTCTCGCTACATTGAGTGAATGGCCTACAAATTTGGGGTAATCTTGATATTTGAAAAGGAGTGTGTAGTCTCCCCAGTGTGGTGGTGTGGGTTTTTTTTTTTTTTCTATACATGTAAAATAGGTCAGCTTGATGTAAGTAATTTTGGCAGTGCATGATCAGGTCTTAAACCTTTGATCGTGTAATTTGTCAGTATTTGTGAATGTGGGGGGGCAGCCATATTTTTCTAATACCTTCCAGCTCTGATTTGCATCACTACACCATGAAGTAAGCCAGTGAGTTCATGCTAACCTTTTACTAAAAACTTTGCACTTTAATACCATAACGAGTTAAGGAAGATCAAGGTTTTTGGACTCTCCTTTACTTCCAGTGACAGTGGGCAATTGGAGAATTGGAGGATAAATCTCTCACTTTTGGTTTTAAACAAGAACAATTAGACTCTCATAAGCTTTTATAGGTTTTTTGTTTGTTGGAAAACTTTCTAAATATTTTTCCCTTCATCTTCCAGGTAAATCTGTCAATTTGGATTCTGTAGACAGTGGTACGGAGAGTTTCGAAAGCACAGACTCCCTGTTACAGTCATGGACCAGCCAGTCTTCACTGGTGGATATGCAACGTGTTCCGTCCTATGAAAGCTTTGAAGAAGACCCTAGCCAATCGCTGTGCTTGAGCAAGCCTTCCATGTCATTCAAAGATTACATACAAGACAGGAATGACCCAGTAGAGCAGGGCAAACCAGTTATCCCAGCAGCCATCCTTGCCGGGTTCACAGGTGAGATAATTGAGCATATCTTTAAGAGCCACTTGTCTCCCTCTTAAGCTGACAAATGCCTGAGTCATAATCCATACCTTTGTCTTGTAAAGCTTTTATTGTTCTCACTGCTTGGGGTTTTTATGTATATTTTGAAAACTGCAACCTCAAGGAGGGGATATTGTCTATATATGTCTGGGCCAAAAAAACAAACCATTTTAGTAGGTCTCCAAAAACATGTACATTTCCCACATTGTTTCATTACAACCACTGAGTACTTAAAAAAAAAAAAAAAAAAAAAAAAAAAAAAAAAAAAATTGTTTACATTTTTGACCACACATACAATTTAACAAGTGAGTTTGGAGTTAAAATATTGCAGATTTTTGGTTATTTTGAAGTTCAATATAAATCACATCTCAAAGAACATTTGTGGTTGGCTCTGTCCATTCACACTTTAGCCCAATTCATGGCAATAGAAGTATATCTTCACTTTGGTTGTGTGGCTGTTGAATCCGGATTGGTTGCTGTGATCCTGCACTTTGCCCATTCTCTTTTGATAGTCTGCACAATAGTTGATGATCTATGTAATGATTGTGTATTTCACTTTATTTTTTCAGGGAGTGGACCTATCCAGCTCTGGCAGTTCTTGCTAGAACTGTTGACCGACAAATCTTGCCAACCCTTTATCAGTTGGACCGGGGATGGCTGGGAGTTCAAACTCACTGACCCAGACGAGGTTTGTGCCTTTTTATCTTTCTACAGGCTGATTAGTTGGGTTATTTTCAAGATATCCAGTATCCGTTCAGAGAGTCTGGAGTCTTATCCTTCATTTATATTACCATGTTTCTGAAATGTGATATCAAAGAATTGGAGGTGCTTTATACCACACCTCATATCCTCATATTGGTTAACTTGATTGCTCTTATTGGGATATGTACTGTACAACTATGCTTGGAGTAAAACCTTTGTTTACTGGATTGGTTTACAATAGACCTCTTAACTGCCATACGCAGCTTAAATTTCAACCCATTCCTGCTGAACATTGATTTTCAAAATATGAGTTTTTGGCGTCCCCATTAGCACCACTCCGCTCGGAAGTGTTTAATTTTTTCTATTTGTTGAGTCAGCTGGAAAATTGTGTGCCAAACTGGGTACTCTGACGGCAGCAGGGGAGATTCCTCCTTTCATGCTGATTATCACGGATGGAGGTATCTTAGATTTCTCTCGTTCAATCCACAGACTGAACAAAAATCAGATGCCAAATGAGACAAAATGTGAAGAATGCATGATGAATGAGCTGGCGACTTTTTTAAAATTCCTGTCTTCTATAAAGAGCTCAAAAAAGCAATGGGTTTTCATTGAGAGCTGTTGCAGATGAAATGCAGGAAAGCGAGACCTTACTACACTGTCACTTTTTTAAACGCGAGAATCCATATAGCTTTTTGTACTGAGCCCAAAAAATGCTAAAGGAAAGATATAAACTTTTAAACAATTCATGCACATTTAAATGCCTTTTACTTCATTCTATCCAGTCAAATCAAGCAAGTTGTTGCAAATCATTTCCCTTTCTCCTTCTGTTCTATTGAAAGCTTTGCCAGCATCAATGGTTCTGCCAGTTCAAATTTTATTATGTTTCCTGACCTATAAGTTGTATGTTCTTTGCATGCAGTTATATCAAAGAAGACCTGCCTTTAGATGTGCCTGCTCCATAGACTTTTTAATGGTTGGCTGTCAAGGAGTATGAACACCTAAAGAGATAACTGGGATGCTTTCTTTTGAATAACATGAAAAAACTCTGCAGGATCTCTCTCCTCTGTATGTTAGAATACATGTGAAGACATTTTAGAGGGGGCAAATGTGGTATAGAAATTGAGGGCTCTTGGTATTGAATCTACCACGTGTGAGATGCAGTAATAACCCTTTAAAGAATAAAAGCAGGTTTATGGCACACATTTAAATGTAAATTCTAATCTAGTTTTAAAATAAAATGAGAGCCAAAACATTTGTGTAAATATAAGTCTAAAATATATATATACAAATTTATTTATATATATATATATATATATATATATTATAACATTTGTGTGTGATCACATACCCTGTATACAGCTGCAGAGATGAGGGAGGAGAGACAGCAGCACACTGATCTTCCCAGTGAATGGCTGTGCAGGGGATGTAAACTCTGGTTATGGGAGAAGAGCAGGCAGAGTTCTCAGCACAGCTAGAGAACTGACTATGCTGTATACTCCTGCCTATTGTGGTCCGTTTTTAATAGGCAAGCTGAGGGACGGGCAGCAATACCAGGGATTTGACGTAAGGGAAGCAATGCAAAGAGTACAGGATACTGTTTTACACAAGTACATGCTGCAGCAGGCAAATATCAGGAATATGAAATGTTGGGTTTACATATTCTATAAGATTAGCCTTTTGTTAATGTACCTGTACACATTTTAATCTGTGTGTCTTTGGCATTCACAGGTGGCACGGCGATGGGGAAAAAGGAAAAACAAGCCTAAAATGAATTATGAAAAGCTAAGCCGTGGGCTACGTTATTACTATGATAAAAACATTATCCACAAGACCTCCGGAAAACGATACGTCTACAGATTTGTCTGCGATCTCCAGAACCTGCTGGGTTACTCTGCGGAAGAGCTACACGCGATGCTGGGCGTTCAACCAGACACAGACGAATGAGCGGAAACTTGCGGAACGATGGCTGTGGAAACTGTGAAAAGGAGATGACCACTTTTTTTTGGTCGCAGTTGATGGGCTGGACAGTTTCAAGATGAAGGAACTTATTTTTGGGGGTAGTTTGTGGGATGTGAAGGGACTTTGAGACATTTCAGAGAAGTGTTTGAAGCTCTGGATGTACAGAGGTCCCACGAATGGTGCTTAGGAACACAGTCCATACTTGAATAAAAATTGCACAGGAAGCATGTACTTTTTGTAAAAAGAAATTCAGTATATCAACAGGGATGAAACAAATGTAATTATTGAGCTGGAAATGCTGTTAAAAAAATCACCGCTTTAATTCCAGCTGATGCGTGGTGGTCTTGGGTGAAAAAAAAGCGCACTTTACCACCTAATGTTTGAGTCCTTCATGCGGAGTCCATGCGGTTTCATGAACATTTTCAAACCATTTCAAGCTGTTTGTAAATAATTCAGTTTTTTTTTCATATTTACATAATTATTTTTTTGTTCCAAAAGGAATGTGTATATTTAAATTTCAGTTGTGTAAGATTTTTTTTTTTGTTTAAGAAATATATTGGCATTTTAAATGCTTTTTGCTTTTTTTTTTTTTTATTGTACATCTGTTCGCTACATAGAAGTGTAATTTGTGGTCAAGTAAAATTAATCCATTGCACAGGAATTTAACCTTTGGCAAGAAGCACCAGATGGCAGCTGCCACTGTAGCATTTTAGTTGCGGGAAGGTGGCATCACTTGCAGTGAAGCGAAGTAGGTTTGTGGCCACATGATCAGGTGATGAAGATAGAAACTTGCTTTGTGATCTGTTCCCCTGGTTACATGGATAATTACTGCTATAGCATGCCCAGAATGGGGATTTGGAAGGCCTAGGCAGTGAGTGAATGTTGAAGCAGTCATTCTAGAGTTCTTCAAAGGTGGTTGAAGGTTCTGTGAGCTTTGACTCCTCTCCCATGTGATGGTGCCTGCTTAGTTCTGCGGCCAACACAATTTGGCAGAATCAGTTGCATGTTGCCAGTGACATGTTTAGGGCAGCCATTTTCAAGCAGGTTTCTGTGGATCCTCAAGTTTCCTCTAAAGGTTTGACTGACTCCCCACATAGTGCCTGCATAGTTCTGCAGCAAACACCACTTGGTGGAACCAGCTGCAAGCCACCAGTGATCTGTTTAGGACAGCCATTCTCAACCAGGTTTCTATGGAACCGTAGGGTGCCTCCAGAGGTTGCTAGGCTTCTTGATCTAGAACTAACCTGATCTCCCATTTGATGTTGCCTGCATAGTTCAGGGCCAGCATCACTTGGCAGATCTGGTGCAAGACACTGTGATCTGTCTGTATGGGTAGCATTCTGGCCCACCATAGTAATGGGGCGTTCTTCTCACTGGCTACCAACATAGAGGGCATTTTTTTTTTTTCCCCGCTGACCTCAATTTGTTTTTAGCTGGGTTTCCCAAAGACCTGGACATCTGTTCAAGCGTTCCTTTTTGGGGTTAGGAAGTTGAGGTGCTTGTTTAGAGGCTCTTATGAACTCCTGCAGGTTGACCTCACTCAGCTGTGGTTGCGCAAAATGGCAAAGTTCACTGAAGTTTTTATACACTGGGTCACCTGCCTGCAGCCAGATATGATCCTTAACCTCCTAATGATAGGTGGCAACAAACCTCATTCTTGCTAGCCAGGCTGGTAAAATACAGGCCAGGTCCTAATAGTCCAGATGTGCCAGAACATAGTAAAGTTTTTGTCATGTGCATAAATAGGGTCCTGCTTCTTGCACCAGGGCAATCCTAATCTAGCCCTGAACTAGTAGTCACTAAGGCAGATGTTGGGGGTTATTTACAAAAACTGTAGAGTGCAACTCTGCATAGAAACCAATTGGCTTCCAGGTTTTACTGCCAAAGCCTAACTGAACAGGTCAAGGTTTAGAAGCTGGTTATAATGCACAACTGCACCAGATTTTGAGTGTACCAGTTTTAGCTGTCCTCACCTATTGTGTGATTGAGAGCTACTGCTGGGGATTAAAAGTTGTCTGGGTTGACTTTTATTTCACTGTTTTACTTTTATTGAAGATTAGTTCTAGCAAACATAAACCACAGCCCATCCAAAATGTTGCTAAACTGCTAATACACTGTATATTGTGGGAAATATGAACGATGTCCTCAGCTTTAAAGAATCGTGACACCAAAAGTAATAAATATATAAAATAAATGGTTTACTACTTAAGTCTTTGTGGGCATGTGGTGGGAAATGAAGCATTTCCAAGGCACTGTCAGCTTTTGTGTTGCAAGCACCAACTAGCCATTATACACAACTCCCCTAATTGCCATTCCCCATAATTCTGCTCCTAGTTGGCAATTGGTAACTTTCAGTGCCGATACTGCCACAGCCCAAAATGTAAAAAAAAAAAAAAAAAAAATGTATGGTTCTGTAAAAAAATGTCCTGCCATCTGATTTTTGTCATTGGATTCTGTATTTTGTGTACCTTGCCTCCCTTTCATAGTTGTGGAGGATTTTGTGTAGCAGCTATTTTTACTGCAAATTAATATACTGGAAATGTATGTATATTGTGTTTTTTGGGTTTTTTATTTTTTTTTTCAGAAGGTTGTATTTTTTAACAAAAGTGCCTTGTAAACTGAAGCGTCTATTTCTGTACAAAAACAGGGCCATTAGAGATGGACATGGATCTGATTTTAATTAAACTCTTTTGGGAGGTTTAACATTTCGTGTGTGCTTTTCTTTTCGGCCTGTTACTATTTCTGGTCCAAATTATCCTGTTTCTGTAGAAGTTATGTTCTTCGCATTGTTGACATTTTAGTTTCCTTTTCAATAGAAGAAAAATTTAGATATGGATGAACCTTTGGGATCCATAGCATAAAGTTGCTGTCCTGACGTCACCCTTAAAGCGCAGCTCCAGTCTCTGGTGAAACCAATTAAGGCTGACTTTAAATAAATTAAAAAAAAAAAAAAAAAAAAGCCACTCGCCTGTCCCTCGATCTGTGTGCTCAGCGCAGCCAGGTTCACTGGTCATCCTTTTGTCACTGGCTCTGGCATCTTAACTGCACTTTGTGATTTGGTCCCGCAGTCTTCTGGAACCTGTTGCATGTCCCAGAAGACTGCTGGTGGGAGGAGAAGAACTTCCACTTCTGATCGCCTAGGTCAGTGGTCTCCAAAGTAGGGCTGGATGTGGCCCTTTGCTTGCTTTTATCTGGCCCTTGAGGCATAATTCCTGCTGCGGACACCCAACAGGGCACCATTTCTCCCCTAATACCAAAGATCGGGCATTTACTCCCACTGGGCGGCCCAGCCTAAAGTCTAAGGGACAGTAAACTGGCCCTTTAGAAAGTTTGGAGATGCCTGGCCTAGGTGGTGGGGAGCGGATACCTGTAAAAATCTGGTACCTGCTAACACCTTCCCTCGCCAAAGATGGCAGTCCTGAGCAGGGGGATGAGTCCTTAAAGCGGAACTCCCCCCCCCCCCCCCCCCCCCCCCCCCCCCCCCCCCCACCTTTGGTGGAGCTCTGCTTTAAAGACCAAATATTATCTGAGAAGGACACTGAAGATTGACTAGAGGAATTAAAGTGACAGTAAACCCAAAAATGAAAATTATAATACAGGTGAAAACTCCAAAAATTTGAATATTGTGCAAAAGTTCATTTATTTCAGTAATGCAACTTAAAAGGTGAAACTAATATATGAGAGACTCATTACATGCAAAGCAAGATAATTCAAGCCATGATTTGTCATTGTGATGATTATGGCTTACAGCTCATGAAAACCCCAAATCCACAATCTCAGAAAATTTAGAATATTACATGCAATCAATAAAACAAGGATTGTACATAGAACAATATCGGACCTCTGGAAAGTATAAGCATGCATATGTACTCAGTACTTGGTCTGGGCCCCTTTTGCACAAATTACAGCCTCAATGCGGCGTGGCATGGAAGCTATCAGCCTGTGGCACTGCTGAGGTGTATGGAAGACCAGGATGCTTCAATAGCGGCCTTCAGCTCTTCTGCATTGTTCAGTCTCATCTTTCTCTTGGCAATGCCCCATAGATTCTCTATGGGGTTCAGGTCAGGTGAGTTTTCTGGCCAATCAGGCACAGTAATCCCGCGGTCATTGAACCAGGTTTTGGTGCTTTTGGCAGTGTGGGCAGGTGCCAAGTCCTGCTGGAAAATCAAGTCCGCTTCCTATAATGCTCGTCTGTGGAAGGAAGCATGAAGTGCTTCAAAATCTCCTGGTAGACGGCTGGGTTTACCCTGGACTTAATGAAGCACAGTGGACCAACACCAGCAGATGATCAACACAGACTGGAAACTTCACACTGGACTTCAAGCATCTTGCAGTGTGTGCCCTTCCATTCTTCCTCCATTCTCTGGGTCCTTGGTTTCCAAATGTGATGCAAAAGTTGCTTCATCAGAAAAGAGGACTTTGGACCACTGAGCAACAGACCAGGTCTGTTTTTCTTTAGCCCAGGTAAGACGCTTCTGACATTTGTTGTTCAGGAGCCGCTTGACAATAAGAATACGACATTTGAAGCCCATGTCCAGGATCTGTCTGTGTGTGATGGCTCTTGATGCACTGACTCCAGCCTCAGTCCACACCTTGTGAAAGTCCCCAACACTTTTGAATGTCCTTTTCCTGACAATCCTCTCCAGGCTGCGGTCATCCCTGCTGCTTGTGCACCTTTTTTCTTCCACACAACTTTCTATTAATGTGCTTTGATACAGCACTTTGGGAACATCCAACTTCTTTTGCAATTACCTTTTGAGGCTTTCCCTCCTTATGGAGGGTGTCAATGATGGCTTCCTACACAACTGTCAGGTCAGCAGTCTTTCCCAAGATTGCAATTCCTACTGAACCAGACTGAGAGACCATTTAAAGGCTCAGGAACCCTTTGCAGGTGTTATGGCTTAATTAGCTGATTAGAGTGGGACACTTTGAGCCGAGAATATTGCACCTTTTCACAATATTCTCATTTTCTGAGATTGTGGATTTGGGGTTTTCATGAGCTGTAAGCCATAATCATCTCAATGATGACAAATCACGGCTTGAACTATCTTGCTTTTGCATGTAATGAGTCTATCTCATATATTAGCTTCACCTTTTAAGTTGTATTACTGAAATAAATTAACTTTTGAACGATTTTCTAATTTTTTTTGAGTTTCACCTGTATATTGCAGCTTTACAGTCCTTAAAAGTGATACTAAACAGAGGTGTTAATTGCCATAATTCATTCACATAAATCATATGCATCATGTCACGGTTTCACTTTATTCCTGCAGCTCTGGTCACATGATCTCACCCTGTTCCTTGTTATCTGCAGGGACAGATCCTAGGGATTCACAGATATCTGTGCCGATACAAGTATTTTCATGAGTACTCGTGAAAATCGAGACTTTGCAGTGCAACTTGAATCTATACGTCTATATGAACAGACGCAAATTGCACCACAAAGAATAGCATGCAGTTTCTCCACTGCTCCGGTGTTGATTCCAGGTTGTTCACACAAGTGTGGTGTGGGGGAAACCACCTTGCCCTGATCCCCATGCTGTCACCGAAAAGCTGCTTCACATGTCTGTGGATAGGAAATCCTAGCTGCTTTCTCTCCTCTGTGCAGCAATGACGGACGAGCTAGTCAGCTTTTGATTGGTCAGCACTGTGACATTGCACCTGCTGCCCCTTCTGTGCTGTCGTTTACTATAACACAAGCCAGTCAGCAGGTCCTGGCCAATGACTTATGGCTAATAGCTCTTGCTATACTTTTTAATTTGTTCTTGCTCTGCCAAGTGGGCTGGTCTGGCCGACTCGGGCATGGGGGTGACTCCTGTGACTTCCAGGACCTATGGACTCCTGGTGTCACCCCTGTGCCCTTTTTTTTTCCCCCCCCCCCCTCCATGTAGAGCTACAAGCTTGCATGCAGCCACTCCCAACACTGCCCACAAAAGCAGAGCGAAAGATGCAGATCGTGGACTATGAAGCCATTCTCAATCACTGCTATGGAGCAGTTGCTTTGGTTCTTAACCTCCCTGGAGGTATTCCCGAGTGTAGCTCAGGGTAAAGTTTCAGTACCACAAGCGGTAACCCCGAGCTACACTCGGAATACACTGCAGCACTGCTCCGGGATCTCTTCTTCATTTACCTTGTCCTGCGCTCCCACGATATTCCTCCTGCAGTGTCCCCGGCAATGTCCTCCGGCTGATTCTGGGTTCCGTTCCCTGCGACGTCAGGATGTACGGGGGACGGAACCAGCGGGAAATTTAAAAATGTCTAAAAGTGACATTCACAAAATACAGTAAAATTACATAGTATAACATTCCTGTATCAAACCATTTCACATACATTTTGTCCCGAGTGCTTTGTCCTGTGCCCTGCCTGCATTTTTACTGTTTCTGCCTGAAAACTGAGAAACGTCCATGGCGTCCAAAAAGCGTCCCTTTAGGTCAAAAGCGGTTTTAGACCGGCTAGAGAACAGCGATAGTAAATCAGAACCACTTGCAGAATTGAATGATAATGATTCGTGGGGGAAATTCGTCATCAGACACTGAAAACGATTTTGCGACTTTGCTCAGTGATGTGCGAACTTGGCGCAATATTTCAAATTTCAGTGGTTTTTGGTTTGATTATATTATTGAATTAAATTTATTATATTTATGATTATTAAATTATAATTTATGATTTTGGGTTTCAAATTTTTAACATATCCGGAATGTTTACTAGACTCTTGTTTGGACAGATTTCAGTGAGTTATTCCTAAAAATTACAGGCTTACAGTAAAAAAAAAAATACATATTGCCATGCAAAAAAAGTACCACTTTGAGCACAGAAATATTGACATAATCAGACCGTTAGGGAGGTTAAGTCGGCCAGGGTCCAGTTAATGGAGTAAGAACAGAGGAGAAATTTTTTTTTTTTTTAAAATTACAAGAATTACTGATATCAATTTAAAGCTGAAGTTTAGGTTTGGCAATTTTTTTTCATGGTTACATTGGTCCATGAAATATGTACAATATATCATACCTGTGGGATTTCTGTTGAGGCTGGATATGAAAGTGTTCTCTGAATTGATGAGGTAGAGATTGTAACGTCTCAGCCTCCCCTCTCCACGCCGTCCTATTTATTTGAGAACACTTTGCATTCATTGAGAAAATCCGAAGGGTGTTATTTACTAAGAATTCATGGAGCAAAATCTGGTTCAGCGCTCAACAGTAACCAATCGGCTTCCAGGTTTTATTGTCAAAGCTTAATTGAAAATGTTGATGCTAGACTGGCTATTGTGCACAGGTGCACCAGTTTTAGTAAATCCCCCAAAGTGTCTTCTGAATGCTGCCCCCCATGCCCAGCGGCCAACCTCCTGTGCTCACAATGCAGCAGGGCAGCCACTTGGCAAGAGACCTGGAAGCTAGCATGGATCACTGAAATAGCTGTACCTACTACAGTGACTTCCAGCTTCCACAAACATCTCACAGGTATGGCACATACACTCACCGGCCACTTTATTAGGTACACCTGTTCAATTGCTTGGGAACAAACTGCTAATTAGCCAATCACAGGGCAGAAACTCAATGAATTTAGGCATCTAGATGTGGTGAAGATGACTTGCTGAAGATTAAACCGAGCATCAGAAAAGATGGATTTAAATGCCTTTGAACATGACATGGTTGTTGGTGCCAGATGGGCTCATCTGAGTTTTTCAAAAACTGCTGATTTACTGGGAGTTTCATGCCCAACCATCTCTAGGATTTACAGAGAATGGTCTGAAAAGGAGAAAATAGCCAGTGAGCGGCAGCTGTGTGGAGGGAAAATGCCTTGTTGATGTCAGAGGAGAATGGGCAGACTGGTTGCTGCGACATTCAGATGGTAGGGTCATAATTTGGTGTAAGCAACCTGAAAGCATGGTCCATCCTGCCTTGTATCAGCAGTTCAGGCTGGTTGTGGTGGTGGTGTAATGGTGTGGGGGGAGATTTTGTTGGCACTAGCGAGGTGTACCTAATAAAGTGGCCTGTGAGCGTATATACTTGCATACATTGGTCCAAGCTGAAGCAATAAAAAAACAAAACGGCGCACTCTTCTCGTGCATTAACGCAAAAACCATAGATTTATTAAAAAGATGCAAAAACATACAAGCCATAAAGGTCATAAAAACAGAGACAAGAAGTCAAAGGTGCCAATCGTGGACAGCATGCGTCCTTGGGTAAAGTGCTAACCAGGGGCGGACTGACAACTCATGGGGCCCCTGTGTCCTTGCCCAAACTCAAAAAAGCCTATGAAAAAGGTACCAGGGGCATCTCATGGGGCCCCCTACTGACCCCAGGCCCTCGGGCAGTGCCCGAGTTTCCAAATGGTCAGTCCGCCCCTGGTTCTAACGCGTTTTGGGAGTCAAACTCCCTTACTCAGAGCAATAGATGGACCTTTCATCTAGACTGTCAATCACAGGCTGTGTGCTGGAGGTCCCTCCCCATCACAATTTTTCTCTTGGTGCCAGGAAAACCTATTAGAAGTGATTAATGCCGATAGCAGAGAAACTAGGCAGCAGACCGAAATTAAACTTAGTGCTCTTAATGGAGACAGGTACACATTATAGAGGGATGTGCTTTGTGTATATTTCATGAGGTTTATGATCACTTTAAACAACTGAAAATAAGGAAATTGGAAGAGTAAAAAAAAAAAGAATTCCCTTTCAGTTTTGTTTAGCAGTACATTAGTAGCTGGTAAAGTTGTCATGGTGTTGAGGATGATATGGACATTGGTGGTAGGGATGCACCGAAATTTCAGCGGCCAAAACTAAAAAAAGCACCAATCCAGGTGCCGAAAAAACCCTGCCCCCTCGCCGCCAGCCTTACCTGAGAAACCATCAAACGATCCCAGAACTGGGCATAGAGATGAGGAAAGATGGCCTCCACTCATCTCTATGCCCTTGGAGGACCGGAGCAATGTCCCGTCTGGTTCCGGCCATTTTTTATTTTTTTTTTAAAGAACTAGATCAATGTTTTTTGTTATCTAATGCTTTACATTGCAGAGGAGTCTTATTGACCCCACATCTCTCCATAAAGAGGACCTGTCACTTACTTATTTCTATCACAAGGAATGCATGCATGCAAGTGTTTAAAATTTTTTTAAAAGGACAGTGCAAAAAACCCCCCCACAAAGTATTAAATAAATAAATTAAAAAAGCTTAAAGAGCCCCCATTTTCGCACGTAGTGGTGAATGCATACGTAGGCCATGCCCACATATGTAAACAGTGTTCAAACCACACATGTGAGGTATCACCATGAATGTCAGAGCAAGAAAAATAATTCTCACACTAGACCACTTATGTAACTTTACACTACTAACCTGTAGAAATTTCTAAAGCATCACCCATGGAGATTTTTAAGTACCCGCAGTTTCATGCCATTCCACGAACGTGTGCAATTTTAACGTGACATGTTGGGTATCTATTTACTCGCCATCACATCCTCTTTCATATTTTACAAAACAATTGGGGTATATATTGTGTTTTTTTTTTTTTTTTTTTAGTCAAAGTGTATTTTTAAAAAAATATATCTATTCAGTTTTAAAAACTGCGCATTTTGATTTTCGGCAAAGTACATTTTGAATTTTTGTTTTCAGCACCAGAATTTTCATTTTGGTGCACCACTAATTGGTGGTCTTCTTGAAGTGTTCCTCAACCCTTGACATTTTCAGAACCCGTGCTCCAGTCCAGCCAACTTCCCATGGGGTTCTTTGCAGTACAGTATGTGTGTGGGAAGGAAGGAATGGTTCTCACCACTGTCTGTATGTGTTCATACACAAATTTGAATCCATTAACATAGTAGATCTTCATAAATGCTCCAGATAAAGCTCCCTTTAATTAAAGGCTCACATGTTCCAAACTCCAGCAGATACACATGTGAATAGTTTCCACAATTTATTCAACATTCCTTGTCAGATAACGCAGGAAGACAAACAAATGCTTCCAGATTTAGTTACTGGGACAAGGCCGTCCTGTGATTTGGCACAGACTTGACTCTTCAGGGCTTTGAAGAAAGGGCGAGTATACAGAGAGGGGAAGTGCACTATGAAAATAATCTAGAAAATAGGAAATGTTTTTTTCCCCTTACTAAAAAAAAAAGTCAACAAAATTAGTGGACCTGTGACCCACTACGAAGTGTAAGAAATGCGTAACTTTATCAATGTTTGCATACTTTATTTTCCTTTCTATTGTTACTTATTCTTGTAACTTATTGTTTAAAACAATGAAAAGATAATTTAACAAAAAAGTGTTCTTTTGCCCTTCCAAAATGATTCATTTTTTATTTTGTATTTTTTTTTTTATTATGTTATCTTTTTAAACACAAATTATATACAGTGCTGTGAAAAAGTATTCCTGATTTTTTCCTTTTTTGCATATTTGGCACACTTAAATGATTCGGATCATCAAACTAATTTTCATATTACAGAAAGATAATCTGAGTAAATACAAAATGCAGTTTTTAAATGATGATTTCATTTATTAACCATTAGCCACCCCGGCCTATAGCCGTTTGGCGGCCGCAAAAATGCTCCAGCTTTCCGGGTGCACGCCATTTGGCGTCCTCCCGCACATGCGCAGTTCGCGCGGTTGCAGAGCCGCGCAGCGGCGTGATCTGTCACCGGCCGCGTACCTCGGACACGGCCGATGACAGATCTGAGTAGCGGCCCCCCATTGCCGGTACCATGTGACCTGCTGTGACCAATCACAGCAGGTCACATGACAGTTGTATACAATGGATGGCTTCATTCATGCCATCCATTGTATACTAGTGCCTAGCTGTGAATGGTCACAGCAGATCACATGCACATGTCATGTGATTAGCTGTGGCCAAATCACAGCTAAGCACAAAAAAAAAAAAAACCTTAATGAATCGATTTCATTCAGGTAAATGCTTGCTTATAGCAAAGTAATTCTTTACTTGTGAAAAAAAAAAAAAAAAAATACTGATCACTTCCCCAAAGTAGTACAATGTTACTATGGTAACATTGTACTACTTTGGTCATAGTAAAATATGAAAAAAAATCTTAAAAAAATAAAAAAATTGTAATAAAAAATTAAAAATAATAAAAAAAAAAAAAAAAAATAAAAAATATATATATATATATATATTTTTTTTCATACTGTCACCAGTCAGTGTCCCTGTTCATCGCCATGCCAGTTATATGATGATGCTGTACTGCACTGGTGACAGTTTGTAAAAAAAAAAAATTGTGAAAATAATTTTTTTAATTTTTTCATTTTCCGAAAAATTATGACAAAAAAAATACAACTTCAAAAAACTTGCCATTCCTCTTATGAAGTACGTCGGACTGTCTACTCTGCAAAAAGGGGTCATTTGGGGGATATCTGTACTGTTCTGACATTCTTGGACCTCAAGAAATTAGATTGGCTGTCAGTACTTCAGGATTGATCAATATTCAGATCTATACCATAGTTTGTGAACTCTATAACTTTCCTACAAACTAAATAATACATCCTAATTTGGGTTAT